AGAAGCTATGATAGCTAATGGACAGTAGGATATGACAGAATTTATGACAGAGATAATGCTGTAAGAGGAAAAAAAATGAAAAGAAAAAAGATATAGTTGCTTACTGGTGTCTAAGGAAAAGAAATATAATTCAAGAAAGTCTTAAGAGGGCACTAGGTAGAAAGCTGAAGTAGTTAACTGGAGAAATGATGTAGGGTGCTGAGATGATTCAATAATGTGTATGAAAAATTGAGTAGGGTGGATAAAACTGTGCTTGTGGTGAAGAAATACTGATTTATAGGACAAAAGGTACTTTCTTTGGGTAGAAGATAAAATATTCAAGATTGGGACAGGACAGTGTGATGTGTAAAATAATATAAGTATGCAGATAAATAAAGAGAAACCTTTTTCCACAAAGTAGCATTCCTTTCTCAGTTCTGTTTTACTTTAAGTGTTCTTCTTGTGTCCTGTGCTCTGCCTTTTACAAAAGCTTCTCACTTTATTGGTCCCTATTCACTATTACAAGGCATCAAATTATTTAATATAATTTAAAGAAAAAAAGCAGCATTTCATGAACCAACTACTGCAATATATTTGTTCTTTCTTTTACTGATACTAGCATTTTTTTTCCTGAAAAAAATCCTCAAAGGTGGCTAGAACTTACAAATTAAAGAATTACAAATGTCTGTTAACTCAATAATCTATATATCCCTGCCACCGCCCTTTCTGTACTACTTTGTTCTATATAACCATGCATGTCTATTTATCTAGCCACTAACCAGCAATGGCTATTTTTTTATAGTCAAGAAGACATTTTTTTTAAATGATCCTTTTAACCTCCCAGCAAATCATTAATTCCTTCCTTCATTACACACAATTAGAGCATTCATCACATTGTATCCTAGCTTTATGAGAGTCTCCTAAACTCAATTAAACCCAGGCTAATTTTTTTCATAATTTCTTTCAGATTCTTAGAGTCTGACACTTGTCTAGAGCAAATAGTTGACCAATTTATGTTTGAGATTTTTTTTCGGCAAATAAATAACTGGGTGACACCTCCTTTCAAATATGTATACCAAGATTACTGGAGGAAATTAGCTTTCAGGTTTTTATCCCCTAAATAATTTCCTTTCCCACTAATAGAAATGTAGCAGCCTCGGTGTAGTTCAAAGCCAGCGGTTTGTATAAAGTCTCCTTGTCTGTGTGCCTTCCTGTGCTCCTCCAAGAATCTTATAAATATTGTCCAAAGACCGTTGCAGGCACCTTGTTTTTAAATGGACAACGCTCTGCTTTTAAAATCCCTTATCATATTTCTTTCTGCCACCAGCAATCAGGAATCTTACTTTCAGAAATTTCTATCTTGCATAAAGTTTGGAATACCGGGAAAAGGGATAATGTAAAACCTGCAATCCTCTCGGCCAGGCCTTTCAGCTGCAGAAACCCAACATTAAGGGCATCCGTCAGAATAGTACTTGGGTGATAAATGGAGGGTAGGTCTTTAGTAACTGATTAAACCTAGAAAATAAACTTGGTTTTATGCTTGATATGAGTTCCCTTCTTTCTGTCTTTCAAATGCACAGCAACTCTTCAGTTTGAGGAAGCTATATATCATGTAAAGGACTCTTTGAATCAAAGCAAGGAAGAGAAGCGGGGGTGAGATAGAAACCCCACATTTATAAAACAGAAGAATTCGCTAAGCAGCTTTTTATGATCCCCTGGAATCCAATTTCCACAGGAATGTGACGCTGTAAGCTTCAGTTGGTGTCCACATGCCCAACCTATTTCTCCTCCCTCTTTTCCCTGTACAACCTTCTCCAACTGCTCGCTAGGACCCTTCTCTTGGAGCAAAATAATACTCTTCACAGTCATTTTGAAAAGGGATTCGCTTTGCTTTCAGGAAAGTGGGGTGTTGTTCCTCAAAAGGACCAGAGCAAGCTATAAAAGGAAGCTACAGCGCAGGCTTCTGTCTAGTAAAAAATCTTATTCAGGAATCTTCCCAATTTGGCGCATTGGTCCACATAAGTGACTCCGCAGCCTTAGAATAAAAAGCAAGGTGGCTTCTTGCCTGCTGCTACAGAGCCAGAAACATTTCAGTGTTCAATTTCCTATTTCCAGCCTAGTATTTTCGTCAACCAGACTCCCCACCCAGAACATTCACCTTCGTCCCCTCCCCCAAAGCCTCATCTCCCCATCTTCCTGAGAAAAGGACCATCCTCCCAATTCATTTCCTTAGGTTGCAGGCAGAGAAGGAGACAAGTGGAGGGGATAAAGATATCCCTATGTCCTTATGAATCGGGGGCGGGGGTGTAGAGATTCAGCGATTTCATCTCTAGTAACTTGCCCTCTAATTCAGCACTAGACCATTAAATTCAGAAATTCCTTGTGAATAAAAAAGGTACAAGCTGTAAACTGGGAAGAACAGAAGAGCAGAGAGCTGCTGGAAGGAGGGAGGGGAACACACACACACACACACACACACACACACACACACACACACCAGGATCTGAAGCCTGCTCTGGAAAAGCGCAGCAGGCAAGGCTGCACCTTGACAAGCCTTGGGGGATCCGGGGCCTCTGGGAGGTGCTGCCGGTGGGGATTGAATTCGCGGGAAGGGAGCTTAGAGACATAGAGCGGCTGCACACCGGGAGCGCGCCCCGAATGTTGGCCTGCTCACGCCCCCGACCGGTACAAGCCACCTGCCCTCCTCCTACACCGCGGAGCCTCGGGCCCGCTGACGTCATTGCCAGAGAAGGAGGGGCGGCCCGGCCGAGGAGGACCCCGGCACGAACTGTATTCATGCGGCTTGCTCGCCAAGGAGCATGCTAGCAGCTTGGCAAACTCAGCGCCCTGGCGGCGGCACACGGACTCGAGATGGGCGCGGCAGTTCTTAATTTAGCATCAGGATAAAGGTAGACTTAGATCTTGTCTTGTCCATCTCATGATTCTTTCTCAAAACCGCCCGCACACTGTGGGTTCTACCTCCAATAAACCAAAGACAAGAAAGGTGAAACATGGATACGTACTATCAGTTACTTCCCCTGGTTTGCCACCTCCCCCAGTACTAACAAACAGGCAAAGACAGCCCTGAGGCTATCTCTCCGTGACCATGAGAATTTGTTTCAAATATGATTAAAAGTGCACGTCTTCCAAAGTTGCAGAGGTGCCAGCAAGCGCACCCTCCCCCATCCCCTTCTTTTATAAAGTCCTAAGTCACACTTGTTTTGCTTGCCTTCTTCTTTCTTTCCTTCCTTCCTTCCTTCCTTCCTTCCTTCCTTCCTTCCTTTTTCTTTATGGAAGACAAGTAAGACAGTCTCTTTATGTCACCTAGTGCTTTCATCATTTTGGCGATGTGCTTAGTGTTTGGAAATCTCAGCCTGCTCCTTGGGTTGTTTCCTGGATACAGTGGTAGGACCACGCACAGGGCTCCTCTGTTCCCAATCACTCTCGCATCTTTTAGCCCCCTTTGCCCGTGGCCTAGATTCTCAACCACTTTTTTCACACTAGGTCTCTTGTACAGAAACAGCCCCTAGGCTGGTATAAATCAGCCTTTGGAAAGTTTTCTCATAGTGGGGGAAAGAACAGCTTAATGCTTTTGTTTTTATTGTATGTGTTGCTGTTGCCCTTTTGTTTTCCTTTCTTTTTTATTTTTTTTTTCTTTTGTCCTAAGCCCCAATTCTCTCTCGGATTTTCTTTGTAGGTGGGTGCCGCAGTGGCGCACTGTTGGACTTCCAGCCCCCAAGACAACATTCTGGAAGGGCACCCAGCTCACAGAGGCGAGTGCCTGCCTGCACTCACACACTCCAGGAGAGCTTCCCAGTGCACTGAACCCCAAGCCACAAAGGCTGCTACAGCAGAGTCTGAAATAAATCACAGACAGCAAAGGGGCCATCTTCACTAAGCCCTGAAAAGTCTTTTCTTGGGGGAGACACGGAAACGGATACTGTTGTGTACTCTGGGACATTGACACCCCAGGGACAAAATGCAAGTCTCTAAAGCAATGTGGTCTCTTTTTAAAGTCACCTTTTCCAATGACGCTCTTAGCAAGATGCATTTTCTTAAAGGAGAGCCTCTTTGTACTTGTTCCAGTAAGGTTATTCATTTGTGGAAGAAACTGCTTTTGGAGTCTGTCTCGGAAAATGCCATGTATTTATGACATAGGTGGACGTTATTTTGGCTAAGAAATCCCAAGTAATTTCTCTAGAGAAAAGGGATCCCTTTTGTGTTGGGCTTGACTTAAGAAATCTTTTTGTTTCCCTCAATGAGAAAAGAAAACCGGTTTTCAGTTGCTGTTTTATAAGAAGTTGCGTTTATGTAAGGGGGACAGAATTTCCCACATCTACCATGTCCACATTCATTAGGTCCCAGAGCAGGCAGAAAAGGTAGCGCACCGGGAGCACCAAACCAAGAAGACCCTGGACGCCCTGCTGCACTCAATGTTTTTCCCTGTCTTGCAGCAAGGGTCTGGTCCCCAGGGGGTTGTGTCATCAAACAGGGACTGAAACCCGAACCCCAGAGAGAGGAGCGCATCTGGGCCTGCTCACAGGATGCACCGCGGATTCTCTGCTGGGGCATTGCCCCTCATCTGGAATCACTCCGGGAGACACCCCCATCCCCAACAGTCTGGGACATCAACTCTGCATCCCCACACTTTCACGATCAGAGTTTCATTCATCTTCACTGAAGCGGGCACATTTCGTTAAGTGAAAGACCCTTTTGCACAGCCAATCTCTGGGAAATTCAAGAGCGGACACTTTTCTGAGAAAAGTGAGAGTTTTAGCAAAGTAACCAAACCAAGACTAGGCAGTACCAAAAGATGTCCTGTGCAAGCTCACCTTCAGGGTTTGCTCTTTCTCTTACCTCTAGGGAGCAGAACCCGAAAGGGAGACCACCAGCAGCTTATCTAAAAGCAAGCTGTGGTCAATTGTCCAGATCCCACGCACTGGCAATCACCAAGTCCTAAGTGCAGGACATGCTATGTGTACCCAGCCTCAGCGCCTCTCGCACCCGGACCCGATACTTACCTCCTGTTAAGATTCCTCTTGAGTAGAATGAAGAGGGGAACGAAAAAGGAGAAAAAAGGCTTCTGCCCGCTCCACTGAGACTGCGATTGCTGTAGCGGGATCTACCGCCACAGCTCGCAGTCCGCGGAGCAGCTGTTTGTCCTGGAGGCTGATTGCGAGGCTAGTCGGGGCTTCCCGGGCTAGCTGGGCTGCCGGTGTCGCTTGAGTAGTCTCGGCTACAGCCACTCCTTGCACTCTGGTAGTCTAGCTTTATGCTTTGCTGCGCGGGCCGCTGCTGGTAGCTCTGGCTCACAGCTCCTCCCGCCCTGACAATTCGTCGACTGCAAGGAGCCGCTGCCAAGCTAGCCCTTTTCAATGGCGAGGGGGAGGGACTAGAAAGGAGGGGGGAAGGGGGACAGAAGGGGGTGAGCGAATGTGAGACGGGGAAAAGGAGTGAACAAGTGCCCTAGCCGCCTGCTGGGAGGGGATGGCACAGCATCAACTACTGGGTACCCCCTTTTGTCCCCACTCCCTGCACCCGGCATCCCACTCGAGCTCAGGAGGCAGCCTCTCCCAGCGGACGCTGAACCTCAGGAGTGGTGCGGGGGCGAGATTGAGGTAAGCTTGTGAAGTTAAGCTTGAGGCCCAGAGAGGGAGGAGGAAGGCACACTGCCTGCCAGCTACTTTATGGGACTGGAGGTTTAGGGAGAGGCACAGAGCAGATTAAGAAGGGCATGAATGAATTCCTATCCGTGGGATGTGCCCCTTTCCTTGCACTTTATGTCTACTCTTTAAGTTTCACTCCTTTACATTATGTTACAGAAGTTTGATTTTTGTTTTCTTGTTTGGTGTGCTTTTATCTTGAATCCTATGGCTCCCTGAGTCAAGCTAGAGAATCTGCACATAGCAGCACCATTTTCTCATACAAAGGATACCTATCAGATACACTAGTGGAAGTAGGGGCAAGAGCAAGGAAAACACGCAGTTTGAGCCAAATACCTGTTTCTGAATATGTTATTCAACTGCGAGTTGCTGTCTAGGTCCACACTCATCCTCTGGCATGGGGTGAGGTGGAGAGGGATAGAGGGTCTGAGGAGGAAAACTGGCATTTGGCTATCCCATAGGGCAACTAAGAGTAGCAATAAGCAGGTAGGTGACTGTTGCCCTGTAGTTGGGAGATCACAATGTGAACAACACCAGCTTGTTTGGGAGGCAGGAACTATACCAGACAAGGAAGTTCCCAGCATGGAGCTGCAAGCCCAATGCTTGTCAATAAGATTGGGCAACCCTGACTGGCATGGGGTGACAGCTCTCCCAAGAGCACTAAAGCCACAATGGACATTGTCTGGTTTTGGTTCAGATGGGTTCTAAACAAGTAAGAACACCCGGACATCTCTGATTCTTATTGCAAGGATAAAATCCTCATATTTATCTAGAGGCCAGAGATTGAGACAGCCGAATTGTGTACATTAGTTTGTACAAAAGGTGTGCATTTTAGGAAGTAGTCCACATTCCTTGATTAATGTATGGAAAAAACTTGGCTTTCTGGTTCTCCACTTTGGTTTTAAAAGGGAAAACTCTTTTTGCTTTTATGTTTGTTTCTAAAAGAGAGAGAGAGAGAGAGAGAGAGAGAGAGAGAGAGAGAGAGAGAGAGAGAGAGAGAAAATATGCACTGCTTTCAGGCACTAAATTCAGTATTCAGTTTTTGCTCTTGTATACTGAAGGGAAAATAGAATGAGAGATTGCATCCACAAAGGAACAGAATATGAAAAAGAAATAGTCTGCTAGTTATTATTAGTTGATTTTCTCAAAACAGCTTTATTCGGGAAAGTTCTCTTAAGGGCAAATCTTTATGAATCCACTATGAATCCACAAATCTTTATTACTCTACTAAGCCCTACTCTATTTTCCTTACCCTTTTCCAATTTGCAGTTGTATTTTTTTTTACTTAAAACTTACTTCAAAAATTCCCCAGATCGTTTTTTCTGTTGCATTTTTTTATACCTGAAGCTACTGTTAAGAGAAAACCTTAGTATGCCAGTTCAGTGCAATCTGCACAAAATGTAATAAAACACAAGAAAATATCTGTCCAGGGAGACACTTTACCACTACATTTTATTTCTGTTGTATCTCTGACTTCATTATTCATAGTATCTAGCAATGTTCTGTCCTCTTTTTCTGAGCAAGGAAATGTGTAGGGGATGAAATCAAATGCTGTCAAATAGTTTCTCGTCTGAGACTTGGATGTTGCACTGTTGGGTGATACTATCATAAGGGATGGCAGTAACACAATGAAAAAAATCACAGATCTAGAATAATGACAAATCTATTTCATGGGGATACTTTCAAAGCACATTTTTTTTCATAACACCCATAAAAGAGATCAATTAAATGATTTCTTAAGATTTTAATCTCATTTTGGTGTAAAGAGTTTTGGTGTTGTTAAAACTATCATCATGACAGAATTGTGTTGTTAATATTGTTAAGTCTGTTTTATAATTCCTAAACTGAAACTCATAAAGCACAGGTAATTTTCACAGGACATTAACATAAACAGTTTAGTCCCTGGCATTCTGTTCAGAGTGGATTATCCTTACATTTGGCCAAATGACAGCTTTGCGGTTAATATGTATACTTTAGTAGTGTAGAGTGCAGTATTTCATTTTTTATGTGTATAGTCCAAAAGAAAGCTGTCTATGTGGAGTAGAAACATTACTTATAGACCAAGGGGACTCTACTAAGTAACCCAGGAGGTCATCTGAGAAAAAAAAATGCAGTTTGTTGACAAGACTGACAGAAATTCACATCTGAAAATAATGAAAGAATTTTACCCAATTTCTCTTTGCCTGTATTCTGACTGAGGGTGGCACCAGTGAGCAATGAATAACCAGAAGCTGGGACACCTGGCAAAAGCAAACTGAATTCTCACTCGGAAAGAACTGATGAGAACCTTCCTATGCCGGCAGAGAAGGGTTCTCCTTTTTCTAAATGAATTTATGGACTTCTTGCATTATTAAATAGCCCTATTAATCCTCAAAAACCACTCCATCAGGTAGATTTTATTAGCATCTCCTTCTTTTCTTTCTATTTTTGTTTTTGCTTTAACATAAAAGGAAACAAAAACAGAAAAATGTCTAAAGTTTTATAGCTATAAAATCTAGAGTTGGAAAGCCCAACCTGTACTGTTTGCAGTACTTTGTGCTGTTTATTCACATATTGTTTTCAGATTGTGTGCTTCTAGATTCTTATAATGCAAATTCTAATATAAATCTTATAATTAACATATCTTTGAAAGATAAAAAAGATACCGTGACAATGTGTTTGTTGAAGGAAATGATAGGAAACAACTGTGATATTTATGCATTTCACACCTGTAATATTTATTGCATTTCTTCAGTGTTCCAATTAGGAGCCTGCTATGCATACAAAAGTGTAATTGTGATAATCTATACCCTGTGAGTATGGAAATATGCTTACTTTCTTAACTTTAACCATTATGGTATTGTATGATTATATTAATGATAAAAAAAGATTTATCTTTTAAACTTCAGTGAGTGAAGTTGTTTCTCAGTCGTAGAATTGAATGCTAAGAAAGAAAGAGTTAATTTGAAGAAGGACCGAAAGCCATGTTCTCCTAGTAAAGGGACAACTATTGGCACAGCCTTTTACTAAATATCTCAGTCACTCTGCCAAAACCATTTTTGATATGAGATCACTGAGAACAATGAATTTCTTTTATTTTAGTTTTCCTTACATTAGAATACTCCTTATTGAGTAATCTGTTTGGGGATTTGCTCTCTCTTGTTATAACTGTGTAGAGCAAAACACATTGGACTGTCCATGCTGATTAATCAGAGCAAGCACATCATGTCTCTTACATGATAGCTACTTTATAAAAAATAAATCAGCTATTTTGTGTTGTACTAAACAACTTGCACTGTACATTGTACACAAATATTGCAGTTAACAGGTGATAATGGGCATTTGATAAATAGGTAAGACATGATAAAATGTATTGTCCATATTTAAATGCATAATATTAAATCAATAACGATTGCAATTTTTAGCAGATAACAATGCTCAATGTTTAAGAAAAGAACAGTAGTTTTAGACTACATACAGAGTCTCAACTCTGGCACTGTCTAGCTGTATGGTTGAATACAAATAAACCTACAGGACAGTATTATCCAGCGAGATAGCCACTTTCCACATATGACCTCTGATCCCATGAAATGCGATTCTCAAAGTGAGATATGCTGGGAGCATAAAATCTGTATGCTATATTGGAGATTTCTTATATGTGGGCATTCACATACATGTATGAAATACCTCAATATTGAATACCAATATCACTATGCAATGCCCATATTCTGAGTAATTGAGCAAAGCTATCATTCAAAGTATTTGCTTTTCATAATTTTTATATGACTAGAGAAAATTTTAAATCTACCTATGTGGGCTTTTTAAATATTTAGGGACAAAGTTCTTTTCTAAAATGTTTCTGTCCATTCATCTAAATGTGAGGCTAACATTACTCACCTTAACATATATATGTAATTTTTTTAAGAAAATGTATCCAATATGTTCAGCATTGCCTGACACTAATTTAAGGAGCTGTCATTCTCCAAAAATTCTGGCAATAAATAAAAATACTAGTATTAGGATGATGCTGTAATATTCACAAATAGTAAAGTATATGCAAATGCTCTGAAAAGCTTAGAAGCTATGTTTGTATTTACAGACTTTCTTACAGCTACATCACCTGTACACACACAAATCAAAGTAAGTCTGAGAGAACTACAAGTATACTAAAGGCACTTGAACTCCTGTCAAATGTAAAGAATGAGAAATGGAAGAAAGCTTGTTTTTAACTAAACTGTTAATAGTTTTAACTGCAGATATTTCCTTTCTGTACCTAGCTGAAAATCATATGCATAGCTTAACTGGAGACACGAGAGGGTGCTATTAGTGAAAACTTAGTAAAATAGTCTTCTGACACCCATCCTCCTCTCCATCAGTATAGATTATTAGAATTTAAAAAGGACATATCTGTGAAATAAGACTCACAGTTCTCAATTCCCTCCTGGACATAACTTGTAAGGTTTAGCTTTCTTTTTCTCTCTCTCTCTCTCTTTTTTTTTTCTTTTACTCCTCCTGCCCCCTTTCTTTTTGCTGGGCACTACCACATTACCAAAACAATATTAGATGTTTGTAGTAGCACTTGGACAATTAAGAGGGAAATGTTTGAGTCAGTTCTCTATTCTTAAAAACAATCAAACAAAAACTGAAAGAGGAGAGG